AGTGGTGTAGGATGTCTTGTATTAATATAATCCTCTTTGGGTTCTTGAGCCAATCTAATGGCGTTTGTTCTTCTATAATAGCCCTCATTTTAAATGACTGGTGCCCTTGAGGGTCATGGCCTGAAATTACTGCAGTTATTAAGTCATCGCTAATACCTCGTAGTCAGTCAATAATAATTACAGAGACCATTTTTATAAATGATGTGCACAGTGGGAACTTGAACTTGAAGCATGACAAGTAAAGACACACGTGTGCTGAAATAAAGAGGCATAGAAAAGTGTGGCAGACTGTCAATGGACCTTATTCATGCAGAACAAATTCCTGAGCAAGACGTTTGCAAACCAAATATTATGGAAATTGTTGCACTAAATTGAATGTAGCGCATTGTTAGAATGGTTTACCGTGTAATTTACAAATAAATTAATTTTGCTCATGTGCGTGAACAAGGCTCAGTGTGTTTCTGAACCTAGAAGAAATAGAAATGTTGTCTGGCATGTGAACAAATTTAAGGTGTGATTGTAACACCCTCACTTTTCTACACCATCTAGGTCACTGCCATATTGAGGTCTTTAATCCCAAGGGAGTTTAGCGATGTCTGAAAAGAGGAAAGAGGAAAGTGCTAACTGGAATTTTGACACTTTCAATCCTTCATGGAGTAAATCCGTGGCCATTGAATCATTGAATGATTTGATTCCATTTATGAGCTAAACAATAATGAGATCTACGTTCCAGAACTCCTCAGTGCTCCTGCCTGATAGAAATCAGCTACTGGATATTTCTGTTTCTGTTGAGGGCTTTGTGGATTAAAGGCGAAAGTTTAAAATAATCTCGTTATTTATTCATCTGACTGCTAATTAATTCTGCATGTGCCTTCAATAATTCAGAGTCTATTTTTTTTCCACCGTTTTCTGCGAGTGCCAAGATGAATAATTTATCCCAACAGACTTTTCTGACTGTAATCAATGTTGGTTGCTATCACTATAATGTCCAAAATGTTTTCCCTTTAATTTGATAAGTATCTGTGGACCTGCTGAAACTCTATGTTTTTAATCAGCATAATAGGGCTTTTATGCTGTCTGTTCATGTGATGTCTGCATGACTTCCATACTTTAATTAACTAGAGCCTGTACCTTTGGTTTATGAATGTTTTTAGACTACTTAATATTTGGCTGAGGGGGAGTTTTTTTTAATAAATAAAAGTTGACCTTAAATCATCCAATGAACCAATGCAAAAAAAAAATCAACTGTTTAATTTTTCATATTTGTGAGTTTGTTGAGCACAATTTATCCTCATCAAATGACTTTCACTAAAATGCCTGTTTAAAATGATATACTCATATTAAGACCTTTTGTGAACATTGATAAGAAATGTTTCCCGAGTAATTCAGAACATGTTTGATCGGCAAGCCAGTGACTCCACAGTAAGACTGTATCCGGCATGGTTTGAGGGAGCAAAATTTCTCTGTCTGTCCAGCATGAATGTTTTGAATAAAGAAGAGTAGAGAGGCCCCATCTCTGGCCTCCAGGTTGGGTTCACTTTTTTTCTAACAAGTTAAAGTGGAGGAGACTGATTAGTAACTTGGGGCCCAACAGCCACAAGAAACCAACCTTTAACTTCCTCCCTCCCTCTCAAATTGTGACGTCACGTAGAATGTGCTTTGCTTTATCAGTGGAATAATTTATGCTCCAAAAAGCCCTGTATCCTATACTGCACTTTACTGGCCTGAAGCAGTACAGAGGGTCAGCTGTCAGTAAGATGCTTTTAGCAAAAATGCCTGATCAGCAGGAATCATCAGAAATAGCTGCTCAGCAGTCATTGGGTGATACATCATAAAACAGAACTGGTACAGAAGAGAAGTGTTATTATTAGTTCAGTTCTTTGCTTTTCAGGACGTTTTACATGTAATTTCAAGTCAAAAATAACAGTCGTGGCTGTTGTCATATGAAATGCATTACTGCCAGAACTGGTTTCCAGAAGACAGAACAAGACATACAGTTCAACACGCAAATGGATCAACCAGACAGAAGCTTTATTCAGCGCAGGGCATGAATAGAGCTTAGATGAAGTGTTGCATGAACTCTCTGTATTCCCTCTTGAGTCGGGGGTCTGTGGGCGAGAAATGTCTTCAGAAGGATGAGATCAGCCTTGGATCAGAAGGGATAAAGTTTCATTCATTCCAATGAGCTGGCAGGGGGAACAGTTTTCATAGAGCTAACGCATCCTCAATCAGGCGCTGATATAGTAGACTGAATGGATGGATTAAAGGGTTAGTTCACCCAAAAATGAAAATTCTGTCATTAATTACTCACCCTCATGTCGTTTCAAACCCGTAAGACGTTCGTTCATCTTCGGAACACAAATTAAGATATTTTTGATGGAATCTGAGAGCTGTCTGTCTCTGCATAGTCAGCAACGCAACTGA